TGCCTCACGGATCTTCATTTTGTTGATGTTTTTGAAGAGGGCGGGAGGGTGATCCTGAGAAGAGGTCTAAGTGGAGAAAAGGCCACAGGTGCAGGTTCCGTGAGCTCCAGTGGTTCATCTTCCATTTTACTCTCTGACTTGATGAAATCTCCTGTTTGTAACAGCTAGTAACCCCCGCAAACCTCACAAGGCTTTGTGGAAACGAAGGAGCAAAGTAATTTTCCACCAGCTCCCGGAGGAAAGCCAAGAATAAAATCCAGGCCCTAGTGGCTCTTTGTTGGAAATGTTTTTAACAGAAGCGGAGGGTGAGGATTAGCATAGAACTTAAACAGAATGAGGCAGACTTTCTGTCCTGATCTAAGGAAAGAGGAATTGTGTGTCCAACTTACAACTGTCAGTCACTCTCCTCCCTGCATTTGGCATCCCGTGACCTTCTTCTCTGTGTGTCCGCCTCTCTCCTCATATGACCCTAATCCACTATGACCCCATTTTAGCATCTGCAGAGACCTCGTGTATGGCCTGAGTTGTGGCCCCTCAAAATCCATATGTTTGAAGCCCTAACCCGCAAAGTAATGGTATCTGGCTATAACACTTTTAGGGAGATAATTAAGGTTAAATTGTCAGAGGTCATAGGGTGACCCCTAACCTGATAGGACTGGTGTCTTTATACGAAGAGGAAGGGACCCCCGAAGAAGAGCCAGGAGGACACAGCAAGAAGGGGGCCATCTGCAAGCCCCGAGAGAGGCCTCCCCTGCTGCCATCTCGATTTTGGACTTCCAGCTTGCAGAACTGTGAGAAAATAACTGTCTGTTGTTAAGCCCCCTCCCGCAAGTCTGTAGCATTTTGTTACGGCAGCCCCAGCAGTCTAATATACCTCGTTTCTAAATAAGGCCCTGCTCTGAGGTTCCTGGTGGACATGAATTTGGGAGGGGGGGGGGACACCGTGGAACCCATCATGGGGGCATATTTAGCTTTCTGTGGCTGGTCTTGAGTTAGAAGCAGACACGAACAGTGGGGAAGCTGCGCCGCATGGACCACGTCCTGACCCTCTGGGCCAGTCGTTGTTGGGCTCTCTGGATAGGCCGTGGGTCAGAGTTCTGTTGTCCTGTGTGGTCTGGCCGTTGCCCGTTTGGATGTTCAGGCTCTCGTCATTCTGTTGCTAACCAGCTGTGATGCTGACTGAAGCCCCTGAGCTCTCTGCACTCCAGTGTTCTGCCTCCCCTTTAACGTGGGAGGCTGAGCGGTCCTCCGTGGGTGGGACCAGGATGCTCAGCGTCAGGGCAGGGAGAGAGGTGGGGACGGCAAGGATGGCGTAGGGCACGTTGCCCCAGGGATTTTGATCAGCCCATGTTCCTCCTCGGTGGAGAGCCATCGATTGGACCATGTGGCTCCTGGGGCCTCTTCCAGCCTTCAACTCCACGGTGGTTGCTCCTGGAGAGAGCGATCCTTCCGCTGGGTCTTCCAGTCCTACTTTTATTTTCCCTGTTACTTCATCTCTTTTGGAATGTGCTGAGAGAGAGAGAGAGAGAGAGAGAGAGAGAGAGAGAGAGGGAGAGGGAGGATTTTAAACTCCTTTTCATGCTGATTAAACCAACGACGTAAGAGAGAGAGCATTTTCAACTCCTTTTCATGCTGATTAAACCAACGACGTAATCTCATTGTTTTGACTCTTGCCTGGGACAGGAGGGTGGTGGTGAAAAACCTAGACATTCCCATTGTTGCCCGTGAAAGGTGCAAAGTTCTTAAGTTATCTCACATCACAGAATGGCGGAAATTTTTTTGCTCTTGGTTTCTGGCCCTTGGGTGGCTCCTACGACACGTAAGTGAAAAATGATAGAAATGTGAAGTTATTTAAATTACTTCCCAGCCTTCCAGTCTAGCTTTCATAGTTTCAGAATAAATGTCAGGGTTTAGAACGCGGGGTTATTTTTAACCAGGGTAGACAGCAAAGAGAGAATGGCATGTTTTGAGGCAATTTTATTCCTTTTTGAAGAATTCAGATCACAGTTTATATCCCCCGAAGAGCATCAGCTAATTGAAAGGTCTGCGAGAGCTGGGGCATCTAATGGGAGGGCGTCTCTGTTCAGCACCGAGCAGTGAGGTGGTGGGGACACAACCCTGCATGTCTCAGAACCCATAGAAGTGCACACCGCAAGGATGAACTTTACTGTGTGTAAGAGCTGGGTGGGATGAATGGACAGATGATCCTTCATTCATGCATGCATATGTTCATCCCTGTCCAAATGGGAAGTGGTCAGGTTGACAAAATGGTTTCAAGGACGTCAAGGAAGGCCAGTGACAGGTTCCTGCGGGTCCGTGGGTGAGTCCTAGGCTCTCATCGGAATTGGCCTAGAAGATGCCCTGTGGCCCTAGCGGGTTGGGCTCAGTGGATAGAGGCAGGTTGACAGCAGGGAGGGAGACCCTGGGAGTGAGGCGAGGGGTGTGTCTAGAACCAGGAGTGGTGGAGAAGCCAGTTCTGGGGCACTGAGGTCCAAAGGAAAGAATCCTGGGGCGGGGGGTGGGGGGGGGGGATGCGGGGAGGGGGGTGAAGGAGGGGGGAATTGGCCGCTGAGTGGTTTATAGCTTTTCCTCCCCTCCTCTCCCTGCTCCCCACCTTCACCCCATGAGAGGGGCAGTGCTGGGATCATCCCTGGCTTCCCGGCTGGGCTCCACCTGCAGACACGCCTCTTCTCCCCCACCCCTCGCCCCGGGATTTCTGCGGCTTATCGGTTTAGGCCTGACCTCGAAAGCCTCCTGTGCGCACCCTGTTGATTCCTCTTTGTCTCTGGTGGCGATTTGAGCAGCCGGCAGGCTCGGCGCCTCTAGACAGGCAAGCATCTCGCCCTTGAACATGGATGGGGCTTTGGATCTCAGCAAACCCCTGGAGAAGAGAAAAAAAAGGTTTCTCAGGAAGCTGGGATTTAAACCGAATCCACACCGAGGTGGTAACACAGCCCATCTTTCCTCACCCACTCTCTTCCCCACTAAACTGCCTTTACCTTCCCCACGAAACTGGCTTTACCTTCTCTTTTGCCTTCACAAACCAAGGCCAGAACGCGCACTGAGGGAGGAGTCTGTGAGTCAAGGTCCTTACAGCCTGACCGGCTGAGTGTCGTGCAGACGTTCCCTGTTGTTTAATCCCTGCAGCAGCCTGGCCCATGTAGGGGAGGGAATTGCCCTGAGGTGTTAAATAACTTGCCAAGGTCATGACAGGGATAAGGAGCAGAGGCACTTCCTGAACCCTAAGTCACCTGCTTCTAGGGACCGTGTGCTGAGCCCTGCACAGGCGTCTGCAGTGGAGTTGTTGCTGTTGGTGACAAGGAAGGGGGAGACAGAGTTCTGGCCGTGCATGCCCCATGGCCTGCACCCCCAGCACCAGTTTCCAGGGGGTTTGACCCCCTAAACTGGGAGTGCACTGGTCCCAGTTACCAGCTGCCACCTGGGGGGACAGAGTGGCCACCTGCCTGCTTGCAGCCTTTGATAGCCGGTAATGGTGACTGTTTCATGACCTCAAGTGGCCACAGGCCTCGGCTGCAGAAATAAAGGGACAGAGAGATTAAGGGACTCAGCCAGGGTCCCACAAGCCCCTGGGTAGTTGAGCCAGGACTCTCTCCAGGTCTCCTGTCGGCCAGTGCAGGGCGCTTTTCATTCGTGTTCCACCAGCCCCTGACCAGGGAGGGGAACACGGGGACCCCTGTGAGTCCTGGCTCAGGTGGCCGGGGGCCTTGAGCCGGTCGCTCTCCGCTCTGAGCCTCATCAGGAAAGCAGGAACGTTTTTGGCTGCAGTGCCTGCCTCACGGGGTCAGGATGTGTCCCGAAGACTTGGGTGGGCACAGAGGGCGAAGGGGCATTGGCAGCTGGCAGCGCTGCTGGTTACTCGCTGTCTTTGCTGGCAGATTAGGGCCTGAGCGGCATTTGCTCCCCTCCGCAGCCTGCAGCGTGCGCGTGGGGCTGCAGGGCCAGGCGCTGTGGCTGAAGCAGAATTCTGTTCCCAGCAAGGACAAAGCCATTTATAATCCATGTTCCCTCCCTGCCGGAGGCCAGAAGATAATGTCCTCGAAGCAACAAGGCAGCATTACTTTATTCTGATTTTCAAAGCATTCCCAGGACTGGATAAGTCACCAGCGCTCAGAACGCGGGTTTGGAGAACCAGGGGCGGTCTCGAGTTTTCATGGCAGAAATGCCTGTCGATCCCAGACAGTTGGTTACATCATTTCTCCTGGAAGCAGCGCGCCCTCCCTGAGCCGGCAGACCTTGGAGCGGATCCATGCCCTTGACCGGACAGAGCAATTCCGTTGCATAAATTTGGTTACAGAAAAAAAAAACCACACACACAAAACACCAGAAGTGAAAGAATCTATATTTCATTAAATTGCGGCTTGTTGTACAGTGGGAACGTTTTCTGGGTGTGTGGGGAGCAGATGTTTTCTGTGTCTTATTGGGAGAATCTAATCTTAAAAACCAGAAAAGTTTCCATATAAAGGAGAAACCATCACTTTCAGAGCTTGGGGCCAAATGACGTTTACAGAGAAGGGTTTTTTTTTCTGGGAGTTTATTTAATAAGCATTTATCAAGCGCCCGCCACGAACCAGGCCATTCTAGTTTATTTATGGGATTTCTGAAGGTAATGCAAGCATTCTAATAGGACAAGCTGATACATATTGTTAGTTGTATTAGTAGTTTACCATTGTTTATTCAATTGACTTTTAAGGTCCATTGAGGACCTACTGTGTGCAGCCCGGCCGAGGCACAGAGAATGCAGTGCAGGGCAGTGTGGATCCCTGATTTCTAGAAGCTCCCGGTCAAGCTGATGTGAGGAGGAAGGATGTTGGGGTGTGGGGTGTCTGACGGGGGACCCGCGGACACGAAGTACTTATCCATTGGTCATCTCGAATGGGGGGTGCGGAGGAATGATTCCTTCATTACCCAGGAGTGTTCCCGGGGCCTGAAAGGCAGACCTGGTGCTCAGACACCTTGTGAAGGGTCATGGGGTGTCAGGGATGGTACTGAACCCCAAGTGTTTGATTTCCGGCACAGAGGGCTCTGCACCTCGCAGGCTGCCCACCACCCCAGGTGATGAGAGTGACAGTGTCCACCCGGCAGGGACATGCTTGGGGCCAGAGGAGGGCCGACGCGTGGTGTGCGATGACCCAAGATGCTAGTGGAAGCACACCTGGCACCTGAGTGGACTTGAGGGGGCCCAGGGACCAGGGACCAGGGCCAGGGCTCTCAGCCCTCCCCCTCTCCCTTGCGCCACCTCGACCTGGGTCCTGCTCTAAGACCCACCCCTGAGCCTCAGCTCCCATTCAGCACTAACGCTGCCGTGTCCTCTTGTCTTCCAGCCATTCACGAGTTCCCCACAGACCTGTTCTCCAATACGGAGCGACAGCACGGAGCCGTCCTGCTGCACATCCTCGGTGTAAGTGGCCCTCACGGGGCGGGTGCTCCTATTGGGGGGGCAGGTGGAGCCTGACCGCAGAGCACGGCTGAGCCACGGCATGTCCAAGGTCATGTGCAGTCCTTGTCAAAGCCCCTGAGGGGGGCAGATGCTGGACCCCAAAGAAACAAAGTCAGGGATGTTAGGTGACGTGCTCCGAGTCACCTAGTGCGTGGCCCGAGCCAAGACAAGAATCTGGGTCACCTGGTGCCTCATTTTCTGCTTCTCTAAAATGGGTGTGACAGCGTCTTTCCCAGGCGCGTACGTGCGAGTGAATGTAGGCCGAGTGCAGCAGGCCTTGCCTGGCGCCTAATACGTGCTCTGCGCGTGCTTGCTGCCATGATCCCCCCAAATCTACCACCTTGCACGCTGTAGTGTAAAACTCCGGTGCACTTCTCAAACCTCCCCTGTACTGAGACGGGCCTGATGCCCAATGGTGGCGGGGAAGTAGCCACTCGAAAAGGAATCGTGGGTTCAAACCCACGTTATGGGTGAAAGTCGCTCGTCTCGGGTAGGGGTAGGCGAACCACAGCCTGTGGCCACCACCCGTGTTTGTACATAAAGTTTTATTGGAACACGGCCGTTCCATTCATTTCTGTGTTATCAGTGGCTGCTTCTGCTTCTGTGGCAGAGCCGAGGAGCTGTGACAGAGACTCCATGTCCGTGGAGCCACCGATAGTTAACACCAGGTCCCTGGGCAGGAAAGGCCTGCCAGCCCCATTGTGGTAGGAAGGTGGCCACCGGATCAAACACAGCACAGTTTCCTCTTGATTAGGTTCCCGACCGCTCAGCACCATCTGCTTATATATTTAAACCCAACCAGATATTAGTCTTTGCAAGAGATAATTAAGAAAGTAAAAGCTGGGGTTCTCACATTGGTAGCAGCCGCAGTGGGTAATGAATGAGTGAAGTTTTAATTAACAGGATGCGCCGTTAATGGAAATGAAGGTTAGAATGAAGATCGTCGGCAGATTTTGAATGACAGGCCTGTATATTATTTCTGTAATAGAGTTATGATCTTCCTAGTTTCTCTGTTTTGTTGTTTTTTTTCATGCACTCCCCCTTCTTCACTAAGAGAGTGTGAGTTCAGCCCTTAGTTTTTGTTTTTTTTTTTGTTTTGTTTTGTTTTTAATATATTTTATTGATTTTTTTACAGAGAGGAAAGGAGAGAGATAGAGAGTTAGAAACATCGATGAGAGAGAAACATCGATCAGCTGCCTCCTGCACGTCTCCCACTGGGGATGTGCCCGCAACCCAGGTACATGCCCTTGACCGGAATCGAACCTGGGACCTTTCAGTCCGCAGGCCGACGCTCTATCCACTGAGCCAAACCGGTTTCGGCAGCCCTTAGTTTTGTTGCTCTGCCTCACGCTTGGCATTGCCGAGACAAAACCTGAGGAATTTTACAGGAACCCTTTAGAGCAGGGATTGCCAGACTGTGGCTGGAGGGCTCATTCCAGCCCACCTCCTGTTTTTATAAATAAAGTTTTATTGGAACACAGGCACACCCATTCCATGGCTGTTTTACAGCAATAAAGACCTTGAAGCCTAAAATACTTGCTATCTGGCCCTTTAAGAAGAGGTTTGCTGACCCCTTTTTTGGAGGAAGAGAAAGCCCCAGCCGTAGAGCCAGCTTCAAGTGAGGGGAGCAGTAGCCCCTCCTTGGCCCCCCCTTTCTCTCCGGTGTCTGAGATCTCAGGGGAGCGAGAGGCTCCGGCCTCGCGGAACACCCTCTGCCTGGGAGACAGTGTTGGGGGGGGGGATTTCTGGGGGTGTCAGTTCAAGTCAGGATCCTGAGATTTGTAGTGGGGTCTCTGCCACCTCACTCTTCCTTTTTCTGCACCCCCAGTATTTGTTTCATTTTGCTTCCTCCCAAAGATAATCAAATCCAGGGACAGCCACACCTGGACGGCGGTAGACACCTGCCCCGGGTGCCTCGGCCACAGCGGACGTGTCTCCCGTTTATTTGGTCGTAGTTAGTAACTGTGAGGTTGTCGGAGTGTCACGCTGTTGTGGGTGGAGCAGCCCGGCTGGTCCCCCTTTGCGCACAGGCACTCACATCACATTTTCTTTGCGGAGAGAAGTGGCTCTTCCCAGTGCTGAGGGTAAAGTCTCATCTCTTTTCTGTGGGTCCTCATCCTTGCCTCTCCCTCCAGCCTCCCCTCCTCCATTTCCCACCTCACTCTCACTGTGTTCTACCTGCACCAGGGACCTTGCCGGTCCTCACATGCATCAAGCGCACGCCTGCCTCAGGACCTTTGCACGTCCTCTTCCCTGGCAGTAAGAGATACTGTATTGCCCATTTGTTTGTCCCCCACGAAGCTAAGTGACAAGAGGCAGAGGCTTTTATTGGTGTCCTCACCGTGCGTCCCCGATGCCAAGCATAGTGCCTGGCACCGAGGTGAGCTCAGTAGAGCTGCGTTGGGTGGACAGGGCAGGTGAGGGGTGTTGGATGGAAAGCCATTCTGAAATGACTGATCTGTTCTCACTCTGTCATTAAACAGATGCAGACATGAGACCTAGAGACGTAACTTGCCACGTAACTCACGTGGCAAATAAGTGCGAGCATCGGCATTAGAATCCTGACTCCCTGTCCCATGAACCTCCCATTGTCAATGACTTGTGCCAACATCAGGTGGCGCCCCGAAAAATGCCAGATCTCAAGAAACGGTGCCTTCACTAAAACTAGAGGAAAATCAGGATTATTATTTTTAAATTCTTAAAATCGTGATTTTAAAACATTTTGATTGATTTCAGAGAGGAAGGGAGAGGGGGAGAGAGAGATTGAAACATCAATGATGAGGATCGAGCCCACAACCTGGGCATGTGCCCTGACGGGAATCAAACCATGACCTCCTGGTTCATAGATCAGTGCTCAACCACTGAGCCTTCCCAGCCAGGCTCAAAATGGTGATTTTACGGCTTTTCCTCAAAGTTTGGGTGCTGCCTTTCAAGGGCATACACTGCTGGGAGAGCTGCTGCTTTAAGGAGAGAGGACAGAGCACAAGGCCGTGTGGCCTGGGTTTTAGTCCCCTCTGCTGCCCAGCAAGCACTTCTCTCTGGGCCTCAGTTTCCCGTTTTGTCAGTGAGGGGATTGAGGGAGTGGAGTCGGTCTCTGTGGTGCCAGAAATTTCCTCTAGGCCTGCCTGTGTGCCCCGCCTCTGCCCACAGGCTGGTTTGGGTGTGATGGATGCCCGGCCGTGCCTTCTCGGTGGCAGGTGCCCTCACTGACTCTCTGTCCCGCTTCCACCGCAGGCTCTCTACATGTTCTACGCCCTGGCCATCGTGTGCGATGACTTCTTCGTTCCGTCTCTGGAAAAGATCTGCGAGGTGCGTGGGAGAGACTTGGGACCTGCGGTGACGTCTGGGAGGGGTTGGGGGTGGTTGTGGCACGTCGGTGCCTGGCCAAGGGGCACTGGGAGCCCCTGGCAGTGCAGCCTGGCAGGCCGGTCACTCAGTGTCGCCATGGCGAAGTCTCACTCTGAAACACCCAGATTAGAGTGTGCGGGCAGCCAGCGTCCTTTCCCAGACTTGGCAGAAGAACGTGCTCCCGGCGCGTAACCGCTACCCAGCATGTCTGGCTCCAAGGCAGGCAGGCCCGCTGGCTGCCGCAGTTAAGCCAAACCTGGTTAGTTAGGGAGCATTTGCCATAACCAGGTGTCAGAGGCTTGTACCAGGTGGGGATCTGTGTCCCAGGGGAGGAGGCAGAGCTGCAAGGGCAGGAAACACCCTCTGTCCCAACCTTGGCAGGGTGACATTTCCTCCTTTTAATTATTTCGTTAAGTTTCCACTTCCTTCTTCCTAGCCACATACAAGACCCCAGCCTGTTTCTATCCTGCCTTAGTCTTGGCTTCCAGTCAAGGAAGGAAAAGCAGCTACTGTGAGCAGACTGCTCAGGGCTTTGCCACACTTTACCCGCGTGAAATCTCCCAGCTGTTTGAGGCCGTATTGGGGTGACATTTACAGCTGGGGACATGGATTGTTAGCGGCAGGCACTTCGGTCCTTTACCCGGGTGCTGAGCAAAGATCAGGGACTGGCTACTTGACCTGGGTCCCCTAAATAATGAGTGACCCGGATAAGTATGCAAAGGCTTCGTCTCACCTCCCCTGGCCCCCCTCCGAGGGAGCCACGTGCTCACCTCCAGATGGGGGAGGGGTGGGATTCTGGATTGAGGGCCCTGTAGAGTGGCTGAGGGCGTGTGCTCTGGTCCAGGGAGGAGACGCTGCCAGGGGAGGAGCTGACTCCACGCTCTCCCTGGCTGCCCAGGTGTCCATTCAGTGCGTCCCCTGCCCCCACGCCACAGCCTGAGGGTCTTCGGTCATTTCTGTTTCAGAAACTCCATCTGAGTGAAGATGTGGCTGGAGCCACCTTCATGGCTGCGGGAAGCTCAACGCCTGAGCTGTTTGCTTCTATCATTGGTAAGAAATCCCACCAGCCAGAGACACAGGATCTGGAGAGAGCCCAGGTTTGGTGCCCTGACACATCAAGGCATTTCTCAGCTCGGGGCCTCAGTTTTCCTCATCTGTAAAATGGGAGAGCTGGAGAGACAGGAAGTACATTCGTGGTTCCCTGGGGTGGAACCACTAATGGGTGGAGCGGGGGTGCTAACGGGTGCAGGGTTTCCTTTTGGGGTGATGAAAACGTTCCCAAATTAGATCGTGGTGATGGTTGCACAATTCTGTGACTGTGCTGCAAAACACTGAATTGATACTTTAAACGGGTGAATTTTATGGCATGTGAATTATGTCTTAAATATGCTGCTCGAGAAAATGGAAGAATTAGAGTAGCTGGCCTTTCAGGGCCTTGTGGGTGTTCTGTTTGATAGTGAGAACAACTCCCCTGATTTGGGGGGCGGGGGGTAGTCAGGGGGACACAGACCTTGCAGCCAGCCTGGGTGTGCGGACGGGGCAGGATTCATGCCTTTCCCTTGCAGGCGTGTTCATCACCCACGGAGACGTTGGGGTTGGGACCATCGTGGGCTCTGCCGTGTTCAACATCCTGTGTATCATCGGCGTTTGCGGATTATTCGCGGGCCAGGTCAGTGGTTTCTCTCCCCTCGGGAAGTGACATAAGGGACAGCAGTGGGGAGACCCAAGGCCCAGCCTTGGCCATGGCCCTGACCCCCGATTCTTTGAGCGAGCCTGTCTCCTCCTGCCCTGAGCTGGATTCTGGAAGTGTTTGGGGCCCTGGGCCTCCCGGCAGGGAGCACGGAACTGGCCTGTCCTTAATACCCACCCGCATCTTCCTGGTGCTCAGGCCACGGGAGGCGGGTGGGGGTGGTGTCCTTAGACTTGACCTCAGAGCATTGAGCTCGTGGGTAGGCCCTGCTTGGCCGAGGGAGGCAGAGGAGGGTAGCCAGTTACCACCAGGAGGTTCCAGCGTTGGGACGAGCCAGTGCCTCTGGCCTCCGCCTCCACATAGGGCTTTGCTGTGCAGCCTGCGACTTGGGAGGAGCAGGGGCGGCTTTCCCGTCACGTACGAGCGTCCATTCCATGGCTCCATTCTGTCGCCAGAATCTAATGGAGAGCACAGTGCGCCCCCCGCGCAGCCAGGCACGTTTGTTTCGGGTGGCACAGTTAGGAGGAGCTCCGTGGGCGTGTCCCTGTGGGGCCTGGTGGGGGGACCCCCCCCCCAGCAGCTGTACCCGCTCCCTCCCCCATCTCTCCAGCCAATAGCCGCTGACAGCCCTTTGCGCGCAGGTGGTCCAGCTGACGTGGTGGGCCGTGTGCCGAGACTCCGTGTACTACACCCTGTCTGTCATCGTGCTCATCGCCGTGAGTGCCCCTCCCCCCAAAGTCGCAGCCCCCCCCCCATCTTTGTCCCTGGCCCTGTGACCAGAGAACCGCCAGCACCCGGTCACTGCAGTCGCTTTGACCAGCCGCCTTGCCTGTGCCCCCTTGTCCCCAGAATCTCGTCCCTGACTGACACCTTGCATCTGGAGCAAATCCAGGGACCGCCTTGAGGGCAAAAAGGCCTCAACAGAGCCAAGCACGTGGCATGGTCCACGCAGTTCCCCTCACACGTCTCCTCTGAGGCCCTGGGACCCTCACGCAGAGCCCGTTTTCTGAGGAGCCGAGTTCCTGGGGTCTCACTCACTGCAGAGCAGAGCAGAGAGGCAGCTGGGAGCTGTCGGAGTTGGCAGCGGGTGGGCGGCCGGGGGTGGGGGTGGGGGTGGGGCAGAGGGGATGAAACGGATCCCTGGGGCTTGTTGGTGTGTGTGAGGGTATCCCTGTGTCCCCCCGCCCCCCCTCAGGGGCTGAGGTCACATCATGGCTCATGACTGAAGCACATGACACACAGTCAGGCTACTGCCAAAGAGTGTGTCACCCACAGGGAAGCAATTTCAATCCAAAAGGAGTTTTCAAGGGCAGGTTGTATTCAAAGAGGGCAGATGGCGTGGTGCGCCCAGTTCTTAGGGCAGGCGCCCTAGAGTGACAGTTCTCAACCTTACAAGATCCAGCGCCTACTGTGTGTGACAATCCTATCCCTTCTGTTAGTGATCTGTCACTGTGTGCGAAGTTTCCCCCAAACTCAGTGGCTTAAAGCAACAAGCGCTCATTACTCCCGTTTCTGTGGATTGCATTCTGGAGTGGAGTCTTCTGGCTCAGGCTCCCTCACAGGTGTCGTCAGGGGTATAGTCACCTCAAAGCCCCCTTCCCCCAAACCCCCGTGAGAATCCACTCTCAGAGCCGTGTTGCCCGGGCAGCCCAGGGCTTTCAGAGTGAGGAAGGGAGGAGCCAGGATGGAAGCCACAGTGTTTGTGACCTGATCCCGGGAGTGACCGCCTGTGATCACTATTTCTTAGGGGCAAGTCCTAGGTCCAGGCCCTGTACACAAGGGGAGCATGAGGTCAGGCGGTGGGATCCTTGGGGCCACCCGAGAGGCCGCCTCTCACACCCCGGAAAATGAGTTGTAGATAAAATAATTTACCTGGACGTAATGAACGAAAACCAGCCGTGGCCGGTGTGGGTCAGTTGCTTGAGCGTCGTCCCGTGCACCAGAAAGTTGCTGGTTCGGTCAACGCACATGCCCGGGTGAGGGTGCAGTCCCCAGTCGGGGTGCATGTGGGAGGTAGGCCACGGATCAATATAACTCTCTCACGTTGACGTTTCTCTCCCTCTCCTTTCCTCTCTCTCTAAAATCAATACAAATATATATATTTTTAAACACCATAACGCCTAACCTATACAGGACAAGTAAAAGTAATTTATAACAAAAGAACACATTTTTCAGTGTGTAAAGGTTTTGGCAGGAACCTGCTAGAACACCCGATGATGTAATCTGCCCCCCCCACCCCCCCATGGACAGCAGCCTGACAGCTGTCAGCTCAGCCCTAGGCCCGTGTGCTGGGCTGGCCCTTAAACCCCTGAGTGGAGCCGACATCGATGATGTCATTTCCCAAAATTATGAACGACTCCCGATAAAATCCTAAACGAGCCAAGTACAATCTCCCCCTGTGGCATGACAGTTACCTCACTAGAAAATTAAGTATTTACCTAAACCATGTAAAAAACAACTGTTCTAGGCTCCCGTTTTTTTATTTGTTTTTGTCATTTACCTGAATATTTAGCAGGACGCTTAACACTTGTGCCCAATGTGAGAAAACTCCAATAGAACCGTTTCCCGAGTCCCAGGCCTCTGAAAGCCAGGGGCCCTCCTGGGGTTGTAAAATCTAAAAATAGCTCCCTGAGTGTCCCGAACTTTCCCCAGGTTGAGTGTCACTTTCTCAGAGCCTTGAGTTTGGGGAGCCTCCCGGCGATGCCCGGCCAGGACGACCCTCTCAGAAGCGGCACCCCAAAGCAGCTCCTGTGTGTGCCGCCCACATGACGGCCGGGAGCGGGGTGCAGACAGAAGCCCCTGCCCTCTGCTGGCGTCCCCTGTGGGAACCTGTGTGTCTCCAGGATCCGATTGGTGGGGGTAGCCCCTCCACCTACCTGTCCCCATTGGGCTCGGCTGGGGTGCTCACTGGTCACTATTTCTCTCCCACACTGATGTTCCTCTCTCTCCCTCTCCCTTCCAGTGATAGATAACTAATAGCATCCTCTGGACCACATGGCAAAGATGCAGGGTGGGGTTGTCGGGCAATGTCAGTGCCCGATTAGGTACCCGTGGAGTCCCCCACCCTTGCCCCCAAGTGGGTCTTATGCCCCCAGAAGTTCCCAAGGGTTTACTCTTTATTTTTCAGAAAATAACACCCCTTCTCTCCAATAACACCCCTTCTCTCCTATACACACAGGCACCATAGGTAGGTAAGTAAATAAGCAGGCAGATAAGTAGGCAGGTAGGATGGATGGATGGATGGATGTCTTCAGTCTTGAAGATTCGTGATTGCAGCAGCTCTGTTCCGTTAGTGCGGGCCGGCCCCTGCCAGGTTGGCCCCAGCCGCTACGTGGACCATAAGAAGCGCCGGCCATTTCTCCGAGAGGCCCCAGCTCTGCGGGGCTGCAGGTTGCTGCACCTGCTGACCGGGGTTTCCCCTGAGGCCAGGTCACCTTCTGCAGTCGGGGAGCCCAGAATGGAGAGGGGCCCAGCTTCCTGTGGAAACACAGAGGTGTGGCTGCCCTGGGTGCTGACAGGCCTGTGTTTGTTTTTTGCTTTTCTGTTGTTTTTTGAGTAAATATGTCCCCCTCCCTTTCTTTCTTTTGCCTTCCAGTTCATATATGATGAAGAAATTGTGTGGTAAGTTTCTAAAGTTTGTTTCGCCTCCTATTTTGTTGGCGTCCTTATTGGGTTCATTGAATCTTCTTCAGAATTATTTTTACAAACAATAAAAGCTGCCCAGGTCAGAAGCATCTCAGGCTTATGAACTTGGTAAAAATAAAAAGGGTATGATTCTAAGTCAGCGGTTCTCAACCTGTGGGTCGCAACCCCTTTGGCGGTCGAACGACCCTTTCACAGGGGTCGCCTAAGACCATCCTGCATATCAGATATTTACATGACGATTCATAACAGTAGCAACATTACAGTTATGAAGTAGCAACGAAAATAATTTTATGGTTGGGTCACAACATGAGGAACTGTATTTAAAGGGCCAGAAGGTTGAGAACCACTGTCTAAGTAATCATGCCTTTATTTGTCCTTTCAAAGTGACAAACATGGTTTCCCTTACTATTCCCATCCTACCAGACACCAAGATACAGGATAAAGCTAAAATGATTCAAACAGTGCGGTATTTTGCACAGGGAGACGCATAGGCCAGTATGGAATATGGAACCGAGAACCCTGTAGTAGGCCCATTTCTGGGCTGGGGGATATGGTAGGTGTCGTGCGTGACAAGGCAGTGAGTTGGGGAGGGAGTCTCAGCTGCTGCTGGGACCACCAGGAGTCCATGCAGAACAAGATACCATCAGCTCTGTCCCTCACCCCGTATGGAAGGATAAACTCCAGGTGAGCAAAAGTCCTCACTGTAAAAAGCAGCATTAAAATAACATGGAATAAAACATAGGGACTCACCTTTATGACCTTGAGGGCAGGAATGATTCCTTAACTAAGATACATACAGTGCAAACTTTAAAGAAAAGGTTGTTGTTTGCACTCTAGAGCGTGACTGTATCTTACATTCGTATAAGCCGTAAAAATGTCTTCTGCATGACAGTCAGAATCTGCATCCTGTGTGTGACTATTTGCGGGGTATCTTCAGGAGGCCTGATGTGAGGGGCTGCCTGCTGTGGGCCCAGGGAAGCCTGGTGCTGGCCCCCCTTGGCCCCTAACCTGCCCTGTGACCCAGGAACCTCCCCGATCTCCTTTTCCTCACCTGTGGATGGAATTGGGGGTGGGGGTCAGATCACCTCCAAGTCCCTTTGTGGCTCTGCTGGTCCTTGGGCTCCTGTCAGCAAGGGAAGAGCTCCCAAAGCGATGCTAGCTCATGCCGGGCACATTTAGATGGACAGACACACTAAAGCTGTGAGGCTCCTCGGAGGCTGTGGTCAGAGCTACAGAAACCCCACCGTGCCCGGAGCTGGGCACTGCACATGCGAGACAGCGGTATTTGCGTGTCTCGGAACGACCCTGCCCTAGTGTGCACCCAGGAGGTCCTGTGCCCCCTCTTAAGGCAGCTCTCGGGGCCCCTTTCCGCCTGCACCCACAGCTTCTCTGCTCCGTGGCCAGAATCTCGGGTCATCACGGGGCCTCTTCGTGTCAAGTCTCGGTGACTCCTGGCTCCTCCCCTCCGAAGTCCTGGGATGTGGTGGCCCTGGCCCTCCTTGTTCTGGTAGCAGGGGGACGCCAGCTGAGCCCTGCAGACCCCCTGGAGTTGAGAGGACCCCACTCTCAGCCTTCTCTCTCTGTCACCCAGACAGCTTTAGTGTGCGGGACAGCCTGGCACACACCTGCATGCCTAGGTCCCGGGTGCTGGGCCAGGCGCTGGGCACGGGGAAGGACACCCGCTTCACCCTCTGCACGGTCACGCCCAGCCTCCCGCACCGGCCTTTCTCGCTCTAACCACGGCCTCCTTTCTCTCTTTGAGGTGGGAAGGCCTGGTGCTCATCATCTTGTACGGGTTTTACATTCTGATCATGAAGTAAGTGCCCTTTCTCTTCTTTTGGGCTGTCTGGCGCCTTGATTCACGTCTGGCCTCTGGCCAGCCCCAGTTCTCTGGGGGACACCCCACTGAGTGAAAGGTGTTCAGACACTGTTTTGGGGTGCTGTCCACACCAGGCCAGGGGAGGCAGGGCTGGTGGGTAGAAGACAAAGCCACTCCCAGACAAGTAGCAAACGAGGACCTCTCTCCCACCCCACTCCATGCCCAGGGTGACCACTTTTTTTTTTTTCTATATATAAATCTGGTAAGTCAATTCCACTCTTTTCAAAAGAGCTAGGCAGCCTCACTTCTGCTCTAAGCTTCGTAAAATGGCGCTTCTCAGGGCCGCTGCCTCATGCGACTGCAGGGGGCGCCACTCACAGTGTGGAGGATGCAGACACAGGGTCCGGGACTGTGGCCCCATGCGAGCTGCCCAGGTCAGAAGCATCTCAGAACTCCCTACCAGGAGTATTATCCGGCCGTTAAAAAGGAGGGGTTCTGTCAGATGCTGCACCGAGGGTGGACCTTGCAAACATGCGGAGTGAAAGGAGCCCGTCACCAAGGGACAGATAGTGTCTGATGCCGCTTGCATGAGGTTCTTAGGAGAGTCACACTCACAGAGTCAGAAAGCGAGTTAGCGATTCCTAGGTGCTCAGAGGAGGGGTGATTAGCCACGAGTGGGTCAGTGGGCGAGGAGTTCTGTTGGGGGTGCTGAAAAAGTTACAGAAATAGTGGTGGCTAGTTCCCATTGTAAATGTAATTAATGCCACTGAATTGAGTGCCTCAAAATGGAAAATAATTAAAGTAGCACATTTTATGTTGTATATGTTTTTCCCCATTAAAAAAAAACAAGGAAAAGAAAAAACTGCCCATGAGGTGAGCCATATTCAGGTTTTATCTTCTTGTTTATATCTGCAGTTGGTTAAAAAAACAGCATTGATTTTTATGAGGCTGTGAATCAAAATGTTTTATAAAAATGGGGGATGAGCGGTCAGACTGCAGGAGAATTGCCCCTCAGAGATGCCCTCTCTGAGTGCCTTTCAGCGAGGGGGGCAGCCTGGGTGTGGGCCGGGGTGCTGCTGTCAGTGACACGGGGAGACCCAAAGACTCAGCCGTGGGAGAGAGGACAGGCCCATCACGCCTCCTTCGAGCCGGCCCCCGAGGCTGAGCAGAGCTCCTTTGCTCCGGGCAGGCCTGTGCGCCGCAGGGAGTAGGCACCCGGCATTTCCTTGGGCTGAAGGTTTTTCACGCCCCCAGGAAGCCCACACACACATGGGTGGGAGCAGGGCTGCCAGACTGCCCATTGTTCTCCAGTAGCAGGGCTGCCAGACTGCCCATTGTTCTCCAGTTCCTGTTAGGAATGCTGTCAACACGGTTGCAAAGCTTTGGCTCCCCAGGTCCCTGGTGGGACAGTCCAGGGCCACCTGACTGTGTGCGTAGGGGTGTGAGGGGCGGGGGGTGCCCAGCCCTCTCCCCTGCCAGGTCTTTCCCGCAGCTCTGACCTCCTCCTGTCTTAACTTCCAGGTACAATGTGAAGATACAGGCCTTCTTCACAATCAAACAAAAGGCCATTGCCAATGGCAATACCGTCAGCAGCGAGCTGGAGGATGGTAATGATTACTGTGGTAGTAGCTCTGATGACCCTTCCATGCCATTGCTGGGGCCAGGTAAGGCTGAGCAGACAGGAGTGGCCATGTCGTGAAACCACTGTCCCTTCTCTTCCTATACACATACCCTCCCTCTAAATCCTCACTCTCACCTGTGGTCACAGGACCCTAAGGGAGGGGGGTCCGTGATGGAGATGTTGCTGATTGGCATTTGCTTAACGGAAGAACATGTCCACAGTCACATCCCTGGGATTTCCCGGGGCCACTGTAGGACGACCCAAGGCCTGCCTGGCTTGTCCGAGATGCAGGGACTCACACCTCTATCCCATGTCAAAGGCCAGTGATGGGAAACCGAGGACTTGGGGTGACAGAGCAGGCCCGGTTCTAGAGGACTGTTCTGGAGAGACCTCTGGCTGGTTGCCCAGAGGAACAGCAAGGCCAGGGCAGGCGGGCATAGCGCTGAGCAGGAATTCCCAGACCATCCCCGAGAGCCTGCTCTGGGGCCCTTCCCAGGGGCTGCAGCCCAGCCTCCGCAGCTTCTCTTTGGCCCCCTGGTCTGGATGTTCTGGGCTCTGGGGCTGGCCCTTGTCCTCTCTTGTCACTTCTCCTAACTGTCTACTGACCACTTGCTGCTTTAAAAACCTTGTCTTAATCCAGCCAGTTACCAGGTGGGGCAGCTGCCAGGAAGGGGCGGGAATTCACTCCCTTCCTCACCCAAGGCCAGGGTCAAGCCTGAGCGGGTTCTTATGGGAAAACAGGACTTAGTCCGTACCCTCGAGTTCCAGCCACGGAGCTGGTGAAGCTCAGAGGCAGGCCTGGCCACCTGAGGGCTCTCTTCCCTTCTGCCCATGGCCCTGGGCAGGTCAGCCCTCTTTCAGGCGACTCTAATTCAGTGGTGGGACCAGGTGGTCTGGAGGAGCCTGTCTGCCTGTGTCTGGGACGTGGGGCCAAAACCTATACCCCTTGGCCCCTCTGAAGTCTTCCCCCTGGGGTGAGTTAGGCTCCTGCTGGGCACCTCCCGTGGGCACCTCGGGCAAGGGCGCTCTGTCCATCGCCGGTCCTGAGCGCTGACTCTCCAGCGGAATGAGGAAGCCTCCTGGGCTGGGGGTGCAGGTTTGGCCAAGGCCACAGCCTGGCTGCCAGAGGCCCACCTGTGAGCACAGAGAAAGGCGGCCTGCAGAGCCAGGCTGTGCCCAGGCCTGGTTCTCCGTGCCCTGCCCCAGGGGAGAGTCATTTGCAGGGCAACCCCTCAGCAGGGGTGGAACCCTGAGGCTGCTGTTTGGGATTTTAGCTCCATAGACAGTGCGGGCCAGGTCCCCACACAGTCCCCCAGGACAGGCCGATTCCCGTCCGGGACATAGTGTTCCCAGGGCCTCTGACCCTTCACGGCAGAGAGAGAGATTCCAAGTGGTGAGTCAGCGCAGGCCGGAGGGAAACGCCCGCTTCCTCAGTGCCCGCCTGAGAGCTACCTACTGCCCGTGTGGCCGACAGAGGAGGCCCATCCCCAGGGCCCTGGGTTTTCTCAAACTTGTGCAAATTTTTCATGTCGCATTTCATTGCTGCTCAAGAAAGCAGAGCCCAGGCCAGCAAGCAAAGGGCCCCAGGACCGAGGCGGGAGGCCCCGTGTCCTGCCCCTGCTGGGGGTCCAGCCTATCTCGCTGGTCTCTGGGGGTCCTGCACGCAGCCTGCCAGCCAGTGCCACCTTGACCGCTGGCTGGGCTCCCTGTGGGCCTTCCCCGGCTGCCCCGGCCCTGGACTCCGCTTGGGCTTGGAGGAGGGAAGGAGGGGGCGCTACCGGCCTTGGCTGAACTGCCGGAACCACTGTGCAGCCAGGTGGGCAGCACCAGGTCAAGGTACCCAGGGCGTCAGGTGTCACACTCTATAGGCTCCCTCACTGGGAGCCCAGCTGTCCCCCAAGGCGGTGCCCGGGACAGGGCTGGCTCTGCGGTTCTGCCGGCTTCCCGCAGGGTCCGGAGCAGGGGGGTTGGGGCTTCCCTGCCGCACAGAGGGGCGGTGGGCACACGGGCTCCCACTCCTTGGAGTGGTTCGGGGTCATGGGATTCAGCCAGGAGAGGGGCCGTCCCAAAGGCCAGAGGACCCGAGCATTGAGACCCCGGTGGCAGCAGCCCCTCTACTAACCCTTCAGTAACCCCCGCACCTTGGCCACCATCGAGAACGCTGCCCCAGGCTCTCGGCATCCTCCGCGCACTCCTCGCCTCTGGCAATCCCTGTCGGCCTCTGTCTCCTTACCTCTTCTCTTCTAAATTGTAAGTAATCCGCTCGCACCCAAGCGATAACACGTGCAGTAAGAACACACTCACCGGCCCAGCGCACGCCTCGCCGGAGGTCAGTGTCCGCTTCCGACATGTGCATGGCCCTCCGGCTCTGTTTCTAACCCACACGCCTCCTGTCTGCTGAGCCTTGCTGCTGTCGGGTGAGGGTGTGTGTCTCGTGTGCATTCGTTCCTGTTTGTGCCATTAACTCTCTCCTGTGGGCTCACCCTGATCACTCCTGCTTTCCCCATCACCGGGGAGGACACTCGGGTGGCCCTGTCAGTGGGGAGCTGGTGACCGTGCAGACGGGCGGGCATATCTGCTTTCACAGCCCCTGGGAGGGAAGCCGCCTGTTCTGTGGTCCTGTCACCAGGGCCCTCGGGGCTCTGGAGTTAGATGTCAAATCCCCCAGGACTCCGGCCCTGAGCGTGTGCAGGGAGGCGGCGGGGAGAGGTGTGAGGCCTGGGGAGATTGGTTCTTCAGCCTCATGAGGAGAGAAGCATAGGGTCAGAGACACCGGCCTCCCGGCTGGAGGGTGACAGGTTTACTAGAGACGCTGGGCTCGGCCAGCAGCCCTCCGTGTGCCCTCTGCAGGCAGGCCGCCCTCCCGGGTCTCAGTGGCCTCGTCCAGGGCCCGTGCTCTGCCCTGGCTGCCTGCCTCCAGGGGAATAAAGTTCGAAGCATCCTTCTGTGCCGGGGGGAGGTGGTGCCTCAAAGACAGAGCAGGTGGCCTCGTGAGAAGTTCAGAGCCAGTGCTCTCCGGTGCTCTCCAGACTTTTCCATCCCAGGGGTTCCTTGGAGCCTCTGTAATCAGGAGAGAGCAAGGTCCCGTCACAGTCATGGTGGGGGGAGCTGCCCAGGGAGGCTCAGAGGAGGGACGGGAAGACCCTTGCATTAGCCACGTTGGGTCCCAGAGGAGAGGGGGCACATGGTCCGATCGGGAGCGATTTTAAGGCAGGCAGGAGAGGGGGGGCATCGATCGGCAGGGGGGCTGGAGGTGGAGGGCCTGCCCGGGAAAGGGCCTGTAATGGGGGGACCACGGGCTGTGTCTCATTCTTCAAGTTGGCAGGTGGTTCAGCGCCACTGGCCACTTGACAAGTGGGAGGAGCTGAAGCTGCCAGGACCTCAGCCCGAGAAAGAAGTCTGCACGGGGTGGGGGGAGGGGGCAGGCAGCTGCCCCAGCACTTAGGGGGTGTCCCCGGGGGACCTCGGCATTCATCATGGCCTTGTGCTCAATACAGTGAAGGAGGAGCCACGGTACAGCAAAAGCCCGGTGGTGATGGTGGACGAGGTCATGAGCTCCAGCCCGCCCAAGTTCAGCTTCCCCGAGGCGGGCCTGCGCGTCATGATCACCAATAAGTTTGGGCCCAGGACCCGGCTGCGGATGGCCAGCAGGATCATCATCAACGAGGTGAGCCTGCCTGAGAGCACCGTGAGGGCGGGGGCCTCGGAGGAGGCCCTGGCTTGTGCTGGCACTCCCTAGCGTCAGGCCCCCGGCGCGTCCTCGGCCAGGCGGGCGTGTAGCGCTGTGTAGCGCCGTACCTGTGTGAGGAAGGAAGCCCGGATGTCACCGCAGTAGCAAACGGCCTGATCTCTGATTGGGAGTGAGGGTAAGGCAGCAGCAATCAGACACCACGTCGAGATGTTTTACTAAGTGTTTGTCAAGCACTAGAGTGAAACTAACAGGAGAAAGGCCAGTCTGAAGTAGGGCTTGTTTCTTGAAGATGTTCTCGAGGGAAAGAGAGAGAGAGATATCAAGAGAGAGATCTGAATACACAGCTGTTCTCTATGCATAGAACAGCTCTAGAGGGAAACTGAGGCACTGGTGGGCAGCAGCTACCTTGGGGACTTCTTTTTTCCTGTCTGCAGGTGGCTTAGGAGCGTCCATCGGGGGAGCCGGCACAGTCACTGTGCTCAGTGTCATGGGCTGGGTTGTCAGGTTGGCACTAAGGAGAGGAGGCCAGGCCTCTGGCCATTCCCGAAAGGCTTGCTAGTATTGGTCCAAAGGAAGTGAGCGAACTTCAGTGGATTCTGAGGTCCTTGGGTCATTCACAGGCAAACCCACCCCAGGGCTGTGTTCTAGAAACCTCCGAGGGCTGTGTGCATGTTGAGGAGCCGTCTAACACGGTCACGTCTTGTTTGTCGTGCCCCCGTCCGCACAGAGGCAGAGACTAATCAACTCAGCGAACGGTGTGAGCAGAAAGCCACTTCAAAACGGGAGGCAAGAAAACATCAAAAACGGGAATGTTCCCATGGAAAACCCAGAGGACCCCCCGGGGGAGCAGCAGCCCCAGCCCCCACCCCCGCCGCCACCCCCGGAGGCAGAGCCGGTGGAGGCCGCCTTCCTGTCCCCGTTCTCCGTGCCCGGTGAGTTCCCAGGGTGCGAGGCCCTCGGGCCGTGCTGTCCGGGGTTCTGCCAGGACACTCCTGCCCCCAACTCTGCCACATGCTTCATGTTGAACACAGAGGCTCTGTGTGGGATCCAGGGCTTCCTGGGGGTTTCTGGATTGGCGCCTCCAGGGCATGCAAGGCTCTTCCTGGAACTCAGGGCCTGGTTCCCAAACCGAAACCAGCGGCCTGGAGTGAGGTCTGGGACTCAGCATTTCCAAGCCCTCTCTGTGTCCGGGGACTGGCCAGGTCAGGAACGCTGCTCCTGGTCAGCACCTCCCAGCCTCCTCTCCCCTGAAGGCCACACCCAGAGAGTGACAGGTGTCTCCTCACTCAGGTTGCAGAGGGCCCAGCACAGGGGCTGGGGCCCCCAAGACCTCCCTCTGCTGACCAGCGGCTGAGGGGATGGACGTGAGTCTCGGCCCTCACCTCACACCCCGGCACGTCAGCGCACCTGCTGGGACCTGTGGGAGCACAGGGCATGCGCAGCCAGCTGGTCTGGTGGGCTGATGGTCACACTGTAGTCGGTGGGAGCTTGGTCCCTGGGTCTGGACACTGAGAGAAAGGGGGTGATCTCCTCTACACCTCAGGAACGTATGTGAGGTTACCTGTTTGGACACATGAGCAGGATCCTGGGGCAGGGACGGAGGCTTCCCCACCTCATGTATTTTAACTTTCGCATTCATAAGAGGACCACTGCCCCGGGCACCCCACACAGCCTGAGCCATCACATGGCCAGCACTGTCCTCTCCTGAGTCCACATGCGGCCTCGCACAGGGACTCTGGGCCGCCGTCACAGAAGGGCTTTCGGTTCCTCGGGGCCTGGAGCCCAGGTGCCAGGGAGGGCCAGGCGGGGCTACAGCCACCATCCAGGACTGAGCCATGCTGGCCCCGGTGGGACTGAGGACCTGCCATTCTTAGGTTCTGTCCTCCAGCCCAGGAGGTGGGTGGCAGGTCCCCATTTTACAGACGTGGAGCCTGATGGGGCCTCAGCCACCACCTCCATGGGCCACTTCATCTGAACCCTGGTCCTGAGGCTGCCGCTGTCCAGGGCTCTGCAGGGACCCAGCGAAGGGACATGCCCGTGGCAGCTCTGATTCTGTAAAGTGAGGTGGTCACCCGTGAGGCCCACTCGTCTCCGTTTCCTTGAAACCTCGAGTTTGGTGGGTTGGATGGGTTGGACCCAGGGCCAGCCTCCCCCTCCCCTTGGCCCAGGATTTGGTGCTTCTCCCCGAAGCGGTTATGGGAAATCAGATCTGGCTCCCCGAGGGGACCCTGGGCGGGTGACCTCCTGGGGTGGGTGCTTAGAACGCTGCTATCTTACAAGGTCTGGGACCAGGAGCTCCCAGGGCCTTTGCCTCCCTGAGGCCTTCCGGGGGCCAGGGCTCCTGTTGCCGTTGGTCCACCTTCCCCCTCAGGCCAGAGGTTCCAGGACATTCTGGGCCTGGCTCATGACGGAGCTGCGAGTTCCTGCCCAGTGTGTGTCCCTGCGGAAAGCTCCCTTTGTGCCCCTGCGGATGTGTTTCCAGGGGTTGCCCTTGGAAACCAGGAGTCACTTCCTCCTCCTCTTCCCCTGCTGGCCGTGAGAAGTCGGGGTGGGGATAGGACAGACAGTGGCGTGGCTACTGCTTTCGGTGTACTTCCGTTTAGTCCTCGCAGCTGCCTCGTGAGGGAGGCGTTATCGTTATCCCCATTTTACAGAGGGAAACTGAGGCTCGGAGGGGCTGTGAGGCTTCCCGAGTCACACTGCCATTATGTGGGCAGCCTCTCCCACCCTGAGCCTCCCGAGCTGTGAATGCCGGCACGGACTGGCCCACGGCGGTCACAGAGGGGGCATTCGAATGGCCTTAGTGGTCACATAGGGGCGGGTGAATGGCCTTAGTGGTCACATAGGGAGCGGGCGGATGGCCTTAGATATATATGTACCCCGGACCTACAATATATTCAGCCCACTTCAGGGGAGAACCTGGGGTGAATGTGTGTTTTTCAAAAGTTCAGGCCCTTGGAGGTTCTTGAACAGCAACAGGAGGTAAAACTCACTGAGGGCTTACTGTGGACCAGGCCTGCCTCCCAGGTATCCACTCACCGAGTCCTCATGACGACCACAGTGATGGCGAACCTATGACACGTGTGTCAGAGGTGACACATGAACTTTTTTGGTTGATTTTTCTTTGTTAAATGGCATTTAAATATATAAAATAAACATCAAAAATGTAAATCTTTGTTTACTATGGTTGCAAATATCAAAAAATTTCTATATGTGACATGGCACCAGAGGGGTTTTTCAAAATGCTGACACGCCGAGCTCAAAAGGTTCGCCATCACTGACCTAGCAGGTGGCTACTGTTATCATGACGCCACTTCCCAGGGGAAGACACTCAGGCACAGAGAGGTCTAGCTGCCCAGGGTCACACAGGAGGAAGGGGCAGAGCTGGGATTTGCACACTGACATTCTGACCCCCGGCGTGCCAAGGGGACAACACGTCACCAACCAATGGATGCTCTCGGCTCCTTTCCTTCAGAGCCGAAGTGCTTGCCTCCGTCCTGGCTTGTACACCTTGTGTCTGGGGTGAGTGAACCATGTTGAACTGCATTGAATTATGGCCCTTGGAACCACACGTGCTCTTGTCAGGCCTTGGATGGCAGCCCTAAATCTTGTCTTCCTTTGTGATAATAAAACTCAGCACAGGAAATCAGAAATTTCCGGAGTTTTAGGGCTTCTTCCTCTCACCCCACCGCCGTGTTCCTCAGTTCTCCAAAGCACCTGGCTGGGAGGAGAGAGGTCCGTTTCGTGTCTCTAAACCCCGGGAGGGGGTCCTGCACAAACGGAACTCTAGAAAACTCCAGGCACCGGGTCTTTCCTCTCAGCCCCTCAGCACATCGGGGGAAACGGGAGAAACTGCAGGTGCTGTGGGCTCATTTCCACGTGAAACGCCACACGCAGTTCCTGTCTGTTCCAGCCCCTGGAGACACCCAGCACTTTATAGTGGAAATGACCTTGTTCTTGCCTCGGTCTCGGGAGCCATCGGAGTAATTGCACGTTTGGTAGATTGGCTCCTAAGTCAAGGTCAGGGTCTCAAAGGCGCGACCTTGTGAATCAGTCACTGTGGCTCGCTGAAGTGCCAGCTTACAGCCCGATTAGAACAACCGTTGGCTGAGCGTTTTTATTGGTGAATAGCAGCTTCATTGAGATATAATTCACCTACCATAAAGTCATATCTTTAAGGTATACAATTGAGGGGTTTTCACAAGGTTGTGTATTCACGAAGTTGTGCAACCATCACCACAATCAATTTCAGAACATTCCACCTCCAAAAGAAACCCTCTACCCATTAGCAATTATTCCTAATCCCATCTCCTGGCAACCACTAAGCTACTTTCTGTCTCTTTAGATTTATCAGTTCTGGACATGTCATATAAATGGAATCATCCAACATATGTCCTTTCGTGACTGGCTGCTACTTAGCATGATGTTTGCAAGGTTTATCCGTGTTGTAGCATGTATCAGCACTTCGTTCCTTGTATGGCTGAATAATATATCTATTCATCAGTTCATGGAAATTTGGGTTCTTTCCACTTTCTTTCTATGAGTGGTTTGTAGAAACAGCTAATAGAGCAAAGTGGAGAAAGAGGCTCAATATATATATTTTTAATCTAAATCAGTGGTTCTCAACCTTCCTAATGCCGTGACCTTTTAATACAGTTCCTCATGTTGTGGTGACCCCCAACCATAAAATTATTTTCGTTGCTACTTCATAACTGTAATTTTGCTACTGTTATGAATCGTCATGTAAATATCTGATATGCAGGATGTATTTTCATTGTTTGGGACCCACAGGTTGAGAACCACTGAAAATGAAAACAATTTTCCTCTGAGTTCCTTGTGGCTAGCAACAGTCTCTGAAGACTAGGATTAAAGGGGACCTTGGGCATTTTTAGACCATTTATATTCCACAGTGGGAAACTGAGGCCCAAAGAGGGGCAGGGGCCGCTAGCCCAAAGGGCAGTCTCAACTAGACAGAGCCAGGTACCTAGGGCCACCTGCCCTGGAATCCACTCCATGGCGCCCCCTGCAGCCAGGCCAGAGCAGTGCAGGCTGGGAGGTGGGAGGTGAAGGACCCAGGACTCCCATGCAGTGGACATGAACTGAGTCCTGAAGCCTCCTGACCTGCCAACAACAGGAGCCCACACAAGCTGCCTCGAGCTAAAGAGGAATCTTTTTAAAAATACAGTTATAGGGACGTGTTACGTCCCAAGAGCAGGGAAGCAGTTGGACTCGCTCGGGGCTGACTCAAGGCCTCAGTGGTGTCGAGCCTCTTCCTGGCTCTTCATTTCTCCATCCGTGCCTGTCTCATCTGTTCCTTGGCTGCAGACTGACTGCAAATTCATGATTGGTCCAGAGGGCAGACTGGGGCCTCCACTGGCCCCAGACCGATGCATGACGCTTCCCGCCTCCTAACATCTCCCTGGTATTACATCTGAGGTCCAGAGTCCCAAGAGAGAAAATGCCATCAACCCAGTTGTCAGGTGTCCACCCTGGGCACGCAGCTGTGCTGGCCAGCATGGCTCTGGTGGCCCCTGGGATAGTGGTTCTGAGGGAAGAGGGGCTGAGCACACACACGCCTCTAGCATTATGAGAAGATGAAGGATGTAGCCCATCTCCGATGCAGGAAAATGGAAGTACAGAGGCATAGGTGCCTTACACAGTCGTGGGAAGGGCACTGTAGTGTCGGCACCGGCGTGGCACTGCTACCGTGCCAGAACTAGGGGGCAGGGAGCCAGAATGCATCCGAACTGTTGAGTTCAAGAGCTCAGCACCAGAGCTGTGAGCCGGGACCAGGAGGCCACTCCCATAGCAACACGAACTGGACACTGAGATGCTGGTCAGGTCTCCGGGATTGTCTAGTGCTTGGGCACGGATGCCCTGACTTAACAGGAATGCATCTGAAACGGCCGAAAGGTAGCCTGGCCCTACCTCA